GACAAAACTAATAATTTTGGCAGACTACGATAACAAAAACTTTTTAAAAGGCATATTTTTTTTAGGAAAACAGGACCTTAAGTGTGTCCCCCTGAATGATGCCTTATAATATTTCTCTAAGAAAATAAGGCTCAGTTAAATGAAAGAAGTCTGAAATGTTTTCCCGTACGGGATATTGCCCAACAAGAATTATAATCCGGGCAATTAAGAGTCATCAAAACAAAGTGCGGAGATTGGTGCAGAAGCGATGCCTCAGGCTGTGAGAGTAAGGATCCAAAATTACAAAGGAATGGTGTTCTGAGATTGATTATTTGCGGATGAAGGCTTGTATTGTAGTTATTTTGGACGTCCTCGTAGACTTTCCAAACAAATTTGACTGATTAATCAAACAATACTTTTTGTGTTTATCTTTAACCAGTATTTAGGAAGTATAGGAAAGTTGCCTAACTATCTTGTTAGTTGAACAAGTCAGAACAAGACAAAAACGTGGAGGATCACAAACCAGTATTATGTGGCCAGTAACTGTTCTCTCAGCATTAAAGTGACCATGTCAGCATCAATGGTGTTTAAACTGGCCTTATGCTGTAGCATTCATAGTTGCTGCTCTGTTAGCTGCTTAGATGAGAGGTCACTGAGCACTTTCGATTTCGTGTTACAGCCGGTTTTACTTAATTTATGTTCTAAAATACCCTCTTCTTGGCCTGTTCCTAATGCAGCGGAACAGAGACTGTCTTCTTGATGTCCTTGCCGATGATCTCCAGACGACTTTTAATAGCAGGCATCCATAAAATGCCATTTTATCAAAATGCACCATAAAGTAACTGTTGACAATCGGTTGGACACGGGAAGATTAAAGTTGATTTTAAGTTTTGGGTTAGGGCCATTGTAGGAACACAGGACTAGACGCGTTTCCCAGAATTTAGCGCAAGGCTACTTGTATTATGGAGGGGATAGAGCTCCAATTCCCGTGTCTCGTTTGGGAATCCTTACAAAATTAAGTTTGGTTACGTACACGTACAAGGCGTCCCATCTCCCGTCTTTCAATTTTTGTTCAAGTAACTTCGAAATAGTCGCCACATGAATAAGTGAGCTTAAATAAGCAAATCTTCTTTTGCACTCCTTTTGCGTACAGTCTGCATGACTCTACCCTCTTCAAAAGGTTATTGCCTTTGAATTAGACAAGTTAGTCAGAAAAGATTTCGAAAAAAGTCAAGTTGGCGAACACACGTTTTCGGTAATTCTTCGTCAGGCCAATACAATTACATGAAGGAATGAAAATGTACAAAATCAACAGTGTTTATAGATGTCTCAAGGGCTATTAAGTCACTAACACTCATCATCCCCGCGCCGCCCGCATGACAAGGTCGGCGGGTGTTAGTGGTCAGAGCTAGGGGGGGGGGTACGAGAGTCTTTGAGTGATGTTCTTGGATTGAGTATACATCATCGTGATTAGGGATTTGAGGCGGCATGGCTTCATTACTTGGGTTTGGCGTTGGCCACGGCAGCGAAAGCGCTGTCAGAGTTTTCTGACAACATAACACCGGATTCGCTAACCGTATAGCTACTGCCTCGGCCGTTGCTTGTATCCGTTGGCGTAGGCCTTTAGAGAAGCATGTTGGTGTCCGGTAGACAACCTGAAATGCCTTCTTGGCATCGACTCGGTGGTTCGTATCGATTAAATGTGCGAGAATAGAATTCGAAATCGACCGGGTCTCACCTCTGTCTGGTCAGGCGGGCATATATTCACGCACCCTCTTTACCAGGCGTCTCGTTGTGCGGCCGATGTATCCTGCTCCACAGGAGCAAGTGAATGAATAAATGCACATTGATGTGGCTTCCAACGGTAGTCTGTCTTTACCTCCCAAACGTAGGAGGGGGGAGTTTGTGAAGCATAAGCGTGAATTCGCCGCAGGAAATGTCCTCGTGATAGCTGTCGTTAAGCGCCGTCGGACTAGTTCGCTCTCTGCGTCTCCTGCAAAAGGTTATCTTATGAACACATCTTTCTTTTCCGCAGTCGCAACAGTGGGCTTTTCGGCGCGTTCCCCAATATTTCCGAGGATAAATCTATCTGGGTATCCGTTCTCCCGAAGTGTGTTCCGCAGCTGTTGAAGTTCCTCTTCAATAGCTTCAGGTGAGCAGATGCATCTCATTCTAGCCGCCAATCCCTGGACTAAATTCCGTTTGATGTTTAGGGGAAGAATACTGTGGAAATTAACGTACTGTCCCGTCCAGGTTTTCTTTCGGAACACCGTGCGCTGGATAGACCCATCCTCTTGCCTGTGCAGAAGGACATCGAAAAAGGCAAGTTCGTTATCTGCCTTGGTCTCTGCAGTGAACTTTAGCGAGGGGTGCGCACTGTTGAACTTTCGGACAAGCTCCTCGGTATCGGTAGTACCATCCGCCAGGCAGAAGATATCGTCCACGTACCGACCGTAGAAGACGAGGCCATTAATGGTCCTTTGCAAGCTTGTTTTCTCGACTTTGCCCATAAAAACATTTGCAGGGAACGGTCCAAGCGGTGATCACATTGCCACACCATCTACCTAGCTGTATAGTTGACCATTGCACAAAAATTGGACATTTTGTGTGCAAAGCGTCAGTAGTTCTTTTAGCGTTTTTACAGGCATGTCTATGGGGTAGTTCGTATCACGAATAACATCACAAAGATAGTTTATTGTTTCTGCCACGGGTACGTTGGTAAACAGCGATGATACATCCGTTGATAACATCCTCCGTCCGCCAACGTTCATATTTTTGATAGCTTCGACGAACTCAAAGGAGTCTTTTAAACTTCGAGGGTAAAGGTAACTTTGCAATGGCTTTAGTCTTTACACTAGCCATTTTGCAACGGTATGATAGGGCGAATTCCTCATATCCAAGATTGGACGTAGAGGCAGCCCTTGTTTGTGAATTTTAGGAAGACCGTACATTCTTGGTATTGTCGAGCCCACTGGTCTCAGTCGTTCATACTCTTTGCTAGACAAATGGCCTTCTTTGCAGAGATCTTTGAGAATAGTCGTCAGCTGACCCTCGACATCCTCCGTGCGATCCTTAGCTTTCTCAGATTTTGAGAACTTGGAACGATCCGACAGTATTTCCTCTAGTTTCGCCACATAATCCGTACATTTTCATTTTCTCATGTAATTGTATTGGCCTGACAAAGAATTACCGAAAACGCGTGTTCGTCAACTTGACTTTTCAATTTCGAAAACAGTTGACAAGTTGCACATGACACGAAAAAATAGGCGGTAGGACACGGAATAAGAGCTATTCCATAATACCTATGGGTATGCATTAAATTCCAAAGAGATCAGACTTAAGGTTAGGGTTAGCGCCAGAGATCAGGTTGGGGTTGAATTGAGGTTGTTTTAGGTTCAAGTAAGGGCTAAGTAAGGGTCTAAGATTTGGGCTAGGGTTAGGGCAAGAAATGGGCACCCTTCCTGGAATATATCGGGCTTACAGAAAGAACGTCAAAAGTCCCCATTCCGCATCTCAGACCTTTTCTCGCCCAGACCCACGTCCTCATAACTGAGTGCACCGTTTTTCGGAATCCACTAACTGTAATAGTTAAAACGTTTCCACTAGCTAGGCAGCTCATTCTGCTGTTTTACCAGGAGCGATACGCTGTCCCTTTGGGCTAAAAAGATTTGTTAGCCTCTGTAATTAGGGGTGCATTGAGAACGATGGCATGGCTAAAAGAAACTTTCGACGTGTATCAACTTATAATTTGTTCCATTAATAATTTTTCTTGCTTAAGCGGAAAAACCTTTTTCGTTAGGCAAGACCGATACATACATGTAGAATTGCTTAAGTTATTAAAGACCAGGATGTTCAGGGCAAACTTCCTTCTCCAAGCCCTTATTTTAAGAGATTAACCTAACGAAGTTCCTAGATTGTGGGCCCACTGGTTATAGCTCTCAGTAACCAGAAGACATCTAATGTCATGCTAAGCCCATTAGGTGTACGGAACTACGTTATGCGTCCCACGTTTGGTCCTTTTATATTGTTCCTGATTATCACCAAAACCAGAGAACAGACTTCTAATTTCCGTGCCATAAGGAAGTTTTACTTTTTGCAAGTCACCGATTTTTAGACTCTGTTACAAGACCACTGCCTATATTCGACATTAAGTGTTCTTATCACCTGGCTGCAAATGTTTTAACTACGCATATTGACTTAAGCATTTCAGTCTGATTAACTAAAACTTCGGACGTAGTGATGATTCTAAAGAGCAAAATGCCATTAAACACCGATCTGAATTTTTCTCCGGCCAATCACGTGGAATGGGCAGATAATCATATTTAACAGTGATTCCATAAAAATAATAGTACAGACCTTCAAGCCAGGCACGATTTAGTCAGGAAATAGGTTTGAATGCTTGATATTTCATTTCTAAGACGCTATCTCATCAGTTGAAAACACAAGTTTCTATTTCCCCGTCCAACGGAATCAGAAGCATTTCGGGGTAAATGAAGGGAGCTGCGACCATCTGACCTCATTGAAGTACAGAATACGGATATTCGATTTTTGGCAGCTAAGTGTTTTATTTTCGATTCCTCCCGGCAAAACGCCAATCAAAATCGGAGGATTTGATCAGGTAAAAGCAAATTTTCTTTATCACACTGCAGTTTGACATCCAGATGCTGATGGTTTCTGTACAAATGCGTTTGAACTGTTTTTTTATTATACTATTTCAGCTGGCATTTTCATCTTAAGAGGTGAAAAAATGTCACATCCTTATTTAAGAGCATCTCTGTACCCGTAATCCATAAACGGCTCATTTTGTGTCAGCCCCAAAGACCAGGGGAGTCTGCGCCAGCTTAACTAGATGAATTTGCATCCTCCATCATGCTCCGAGAAAAGCGGACCATACACGTTTGCGAAATGGTCATTTTGACGCCATGGACTGCCTTCCCCAGCCACACACCCGATTATTTTTAAATCTATGCCGTGCGGAAGTGAACAATAGGCTAGACAATGAAAGTCGTCATTGGGTAAACACAGCTGCATAAATGAATCGAAATCATATAATGGCATAACGTAGCTTAGAGCATAAAATCCATTAAAAGCAAATCTGCCGCATAAGCATTCATTAGCTGCAAAATAATTATCGGTGTTTAAATCACGTTGGTCTGCCAAGTCACTGGCTTGCGTGATCAAACTAACATGGACATTAAATTAACTTTGGAAAATATGCGAATTTCACCAATATTCAACTCTCCTGAAAGATCTTGAGCACTACTACTTGAAGATGGTGAACATACATTAGTGTGTACAACGTGTGCTTCTAAGATAAGAATGCCGAAATCTGAGGTTTAGGTGTCTTTCGATATTTTTTATAAGCATGATACCCAGCGCTCAGCAGTTTTATACCTGTGACAGTTTGTAGTCTATATTTCAACGTGTTTTCACTTTTCACGGAAAATCTTCCAATAAAGTGTATTTTCCCACTGCTTGGACATGAAAACTCACAAATCTGCCGAGTTAATTTGGTATAGAGTAAGTTAATGAAAACTTTCATTATAAGAGACAATAACAAACCGTAAATTCTGCACATCTGTGAATTCCACATCTAATTTTCGCTAATCCTGAAGGTTTCATGATCGATATCTTCGCATATCATTGAATGTAGGAGCCAGTTTTATGGAAGTTTTCTAAAAACACTTTTTCCATTCAGCTATGATACAAATGTGCCTACATGAATGCAGGAAAATCCTCAGAGCACTTTCAACATCCACTTATTTGCGTCCAAAGAATTTCAAATTTGCAGACGTTAATAGTTCTCATGTAATCTTTCTTCACGTTCAGTGTTGGAACGGCACTGAAACACTCTTGATCAGAAGAAGTCCCATTCAATTGATTTTGAGAGGACTCGCCTTTCGACCTACTGGAAAAGGCAAACATCTGATAATTTTGACCATCTGCTTAAAGGCTAAATGGAACATAATAAAAATAAGGTGTTCATATTACTATGTCCACAAGTCATCACTGAAATGGGGTCCTTATGGTCGCCGTGATTTTATTATGTAATGTTTCCATTTGGTATTGACTAGTTGGTAAATCTCCTTGCAAAATATCATTATTGCCACCTTATTTCTTTGGAAATGTTTGCTTAAAACAGCCGATGTAATTTTATTTAATACGTTAAAAGAAATGAAATCGTGTAGCATATATAACGAACGTTCTCCTGTGCTTGATCATTCTAGTTTAAAACTGCGCAGTACGTCGAAGTCTGACATTTGACAACAACAAAGCAGTTTTCTATCGTAGTTAAGTACGTTTTGAGTTGCGTTTACGCCCTTCATTGTTAGGTACAATCAAATGTACATCCGGCGCAAGACGACGAAAAACCAAATTGACCTTGTTAGATACACCAAGAGCAGTTGGCTTTTTTAAAATAAAAAACAACGTCGACAGTGGAAATCAGTTGTCAAAATGCGTCCGTGATGCTTCTTAACTGTTTATGACCATAATTGCTAAAGTGACACAGATTTAGATTCCCTTTGAATAAGAAAAACTAGATTTCAGTTATTCTGCACTGACGTAGGAAAGAAAAAAGGGTTGGCAAGAGTGCTCAGCAATTTTGCGAACATAAATGTGCTCCACATTTTTTTTGTATAATGAGTATGGTCAATTTCGTGACTTAACACTGACTTGCCACAAAAGCTGAATTCACATTCTAACTAAAGAAAAAACAATAAAAGTTTTTTGGAATGTAAGTGATACTAAAGACGATGATGGGGATTATTTTACGGTCTGAAGCCAACCTTTTGGACTGCAAATTTGTAATCCTAATAAATGCGCCACTGTCAGGAAATGCTGCCATAATGCTGTAAAATTTGTCACAATTTGCAGGACGAACGCTCTTTACTAATTTAAAAGTGATTCTTTTTCTTTACCCTAACAATACCAATCAGAATTTTCCAGAAAGATACTTTGACTTTTCAAACAATCCGACAGCCAAACGATGTTTTGCTTAGCATATTAGTAGGACCTTTTGTCAACCAGTTATCGGCAATACAAACCTCCTTTAAATGAGCAGCAACGGCATATACCGTAAAATCTTTAGCTTTTTTATACATTGCCAAATTATTTTATAAGATATATGCATTTTGTTTGAGTCAATAAGGTCCACATTGGGCTGATTTATGCATCCAGAAATCGTGCTTGGAGACAGACATTGGCTATGCATTAGTCTTGTACCAGTTTTCCAATTAATTTATTCGTGTTGATATTACGTCAGCTTCGTCTTCAAGAAAAACGAACAAAATGCATCACTTCGCCGCCTGTGGGAGACAAAGCCAATATGTGCTAGTACAGTCTGTTTTGGCAAGGACTTTTCGTTTCTTTTGATTCCTGAAAAATGTTAATAGTTTTTTAGCTATTCAGGTTTTAAATGCACTTTGCGAATGTCTTCTTTAAAATCAATTACATATGCTCATACATAGTTAGAAGGACGTGTACCGCATCAGAATATATGCGATGGGTA